AAAAAAAAAAATGTCGATTTCTTGAGAGTCTTCGTTTTGATCAAAAATGTGTGAAAATGTTTGACCAGAAAACGATTGCTGTTTAAGGTTATTGATAAGCTACTTATCCGTATTTTCATTTGTTCAATGTGCAAGACCGCAAGAGGTCTTATTTTTGCAGACTGTGCCGGCTACGAGAAGGCGGTTTGTGAAAACCTTTGTGCGTTTCGAAAACAATCTTAAACTAGCATGTTTAATTCCTTTCAAAAGTACAATTCTTGTTGATTCCACATTTCTAATTTGATGAAAAAAATTATGCAGTTACTTTTCCAAACAAACCGCATTGAAAAAATCTTTTTTATTTCAATTAGTCTAAATGGTGCTGATGAATTCTTAGGCTGCTTGGAGAAATACTGTCGCTTTGTAGGCGCCACGATCGACCACAGCCTCCCTCATTCACACCACCCGCTTCAGAGGTCGAGGCAGCAGCACTGACGGGACTGAGAAACATCCAACGCCTGTTAATGGGACTAATGGCAAAAGAGGATGTTCAAAAATCACTAAAAACTGGTATTCCAGAGTGGAACGGCAAAACAGTTGAACAACTGATACAATGCATTCCAGAAAGTAAAAACTTGATAAATAATTACCTGGGAAGAAATTTCTTCAGCAAAACTGTCTTAAGCACTACTACATAGCGTTTTTAGCTCTCTATGCGTGCGACAGACCGCAGGCATTGTTTTACGGTGAATCAGCTTCTATCTTCAGAGCTCCTTTTAAGAACGGTAAGTTTTATTACAAAAGCTACTTCAGTACACTTGATAGAGCAAAGGAAAAACTGATTTGGTTTATTCAGCCTGCAAGGATGCGTGCTTGTGTACTCTCAAACAAACAGAAGCCGTTGAGGAATTTTTGAAAGGTCAGTCGCTGAAAGCCTCGTTCAGCACCTTTGAAGATCTTGAAGTTGAACAGGAATGCTTCTAAGAGGCTTTCACTGACAAGAGTTACATGCATTACAATAAAATAAAGCAAGTGGTGCTTGGCCATTGGGGAGGCACAGAATTTATTATTAATTACTGAAGCACTCATTGGAGAGTCATGTGAGTGTGTACTTTCATAACCAATAGAAAAACTGATTTAAAAAATTTTTTTAGTAATTTCAGTTGTATTATTGGAAAACTCAGAGTCTTTTCCTTCTCTCAGAATGCTATTGACGTTGCATTCAGGTGATTACGCTCTTTTGACACGATAGTCTTAGTCACATATTAAAAAAAAAGTGAGGAAAACGATGAAACAAACAATAGAAAAAAATAA